AATGTTCATGTAAATTGCTAAATCATTATCACAAGAGAAGACATCAGGTTTACGAGACCTTGCGCTATACATATTTCATCCTTTCCCTTTTCTTTTTTTTTTGTTGACAACAACTCAAAATGCAGATCCTGTTTGCCATCAGTTGCACTGACAGACTATTTCTTCATTAATTCTGGGGCCCTTTTCTGCATGCCATCAGCTATTGAATGAAGAGCACTAATGTCAAAAAGTCTGAACGAAAAAGAATCCTATTTTAGTGCAGTTTTAATGATTTACTTTTTATCCTATTTTGCCTTAGAGTTCCTTAAACCTGAAATAACCTTCCTTTTTTATGATTATACAATTGGTGCTTTTTTTCTTAATTATAACAGGCTTTATTTGAACCCAAAAAGCCCAAGGCTGGTTTTATATCTATGGCATAGCGTGTGTGCTTTGCTAAATTTCTGTGGTGCCATCATAACTATGAGCAACATATATGCAGAGAGCAGAACACAAATATCACTGAGTTGAGAAGGCTTTCTCTAATTAACAGCAATGTTAATTCCATGCTTCTTGTTTTGTCGTATTTCAAATGCGGAGTGAGAAGTCAGCGAGGAAAGAAAAAATAACTCCTGCAGCCCTACAGGCAGAAGACTGACATTTTCTCACCACGTGTCCTTAAGTGTCTTTTGAGTGCACAAGGATGCATCTCGTATATTCACTCTCTAATTCACACTCGCTCACTTTCTCACTGTTCCTCTCTCCGCTATTATCTCGCTCAATTTCACACTCTCAATTGCACACTGTCTATTTGTCATCCTAGAGCTCTTTATTCTTTGTGTCCCTCCTCTCCACCTACTCTTTCTGTGTCAACTTCTTACTGTTTTTCTTTTTCACCTCCCTGAAATGCCATTGGCTTCCTCTCTGTCTATTACTTCCTTGTATCTTTTTACTTTACTACCTGCCAGTTCCTTGGGGGACGAGCATTCTTTGGCGACAGACGATGGTCGGATTTTCATCTCAATGGCGACCCTGGATGAGTAGCGGGCCTTGGATGGTGAGAGTAGCTCCTCGGTGGCCAGGGATTCAGCCTTGGTCGTACCGCTCTGTCCACTGCTCTCCTCCTCTACCAATGCCACCGTGTCTCTCAGAGTGTTGCTAGGCGACATAGCCCTGGATGGTGATAGAACATGTTCATCCTGATTGTCTGTCATTTTTGAGGCAGAGTGAGGGAGGACTTGGACTTGACTGCCTCCTCCTTGCCCGTTGCTCTGTGGTCTTGGTGCTGTTGCTGCCATGGCTACTTTACCATGGCCCGTACCTTGGTGGCTGTAAACTTTGTATCGAATCATTAAGATGATTATAAAGACCAGCACAGACGCAACAATAATCCCTCCAATGATGATGATCATAGTACCACCCAGGAAGTGGCTGTGCAGAGCTTGACACTGGCTGAAGTCCGTGTCTGTGGTGAATGACAGACAGCCCAAAGGACGCGTAGCAGTTAGCGATGTGATGACGTCATCAAGCACCGCAAGTACACAAAGATCGTAGTTGCGTCCGGCGGCGAGGTCCCGAACCAGGAAGTCATTACTTGTGGATGGAATCATCCTGCCATGATAAAGAGAGAAAATATATGTTTCAGACAATGCAATGACCTTAATACACAACAAGCAGAAGACTTTCAGCTGCAGGTAAAAAGGCAGAGTGTGTGTGATAGATTTTCTATTGAGGTTACAGGTCGGATGGACATTAAATTAAATGAAACATAGGCACAATTCAAGCTATGGGGGGAGGACGTTTTCAATATTTTATTACAAAAGAATAAAACTTTTCAAATGGAACTTTTACTTTCCACTAAATGAGTTTTTGTTTCTGTAAACTTCTGAAAATATGCCTCCACTGAATTTGAAAGGATGGCAGAATTTTACACCGTTTATAGTTAATCGCTGACTTTTTGTGGACTTTTGTTTTCACGGCCTTCATTAGAATGTCTTGATTGACTGACAGATGCAGAGTTTATCAACCTTGTCATAAGACAGAAAGCTTTCTGCAATCCAACTAAATTGCTTTCCCAATTATGCTGTCATAGCTGTGACACTACCAGCACCACACTTGTTTTGAGTAAAGTAAATGCCACATTAGTAAACTGTATCTGAGTCACAGGAGGGGGTTTGAGGAAATTGTACAAAGCACATGACTGTAGCCAAATTTGATATGCAGGCTGGCTTTTACCAAATCACCATGGAAATGATTCAATCTAAACATGTTGCATAACTTAGGTACTTAGTATTTCAAACATTAGTATCATGTTTTTCGCAGATAGCCTACTTGCCAATATCACAATGATCAGGTTTCTCACAGTCTTTTTTATTCCACTCTACCAGCCCAGTTTCATATGGAAATGTGTATGTATGTATCTATTATTATTCAATATTTATTTATCTATTTACTTATCTATCTGCAGCCCCCAAAATGTAATAGTGAGATGATCCATGGTTCACAGCAAAAAGTACATTATGATGTAATGAGAATCTCCATTTGGAGATAGCAAGACAGCTAATTTTAAACTGTCACGTGGTGAAATGTATTACGTCTATTACGTAGGAAAAAAAAGACTATACAATATTTTTAATAAGCAAGAAAAATCATCATCAGAGCATCTTTACCCTTTAATGGGGAACTGCATTATTTTTGAACTGCTGGGTAAGGTTTGTCTTTGTCTATTTTTGTTATCCTTTGTTTCTATCATCAAATACATATGAATTCTGATTATGCTTGTCCATCTAGTTTTTGATGTTACCTACCTTTGTCCTGACTGAGCACAGCCATAACATTGTTCATGCAACTCTACACTGTACCCTTCAAATAGGCAAAATAACAAAAATGGACTCAGACTGTAGCTGCTTGATGTACTTATTTGTATTCTGCTATGCGTTCAAATATGAAAGCCACCACACTGACACTTACACTATCATTACATATATCCATGTGATGCTGCCTGAGGCACAACAGCCACCTCACCGGCTTTATTTCCCCACAGAACTGAAATTCATTAGTCTGTGATCTGACAAATGCTAACACAGATGCATACCTCACGACAGCAGAAACCATCAGTCTCTGATTAAACAATCCTGATTATTCTATTGTTACCCTCTTCCTCAGCCCCTGAGAGGGTAAATACCTTTAGATCGTATTTTGTCGAAACTTTCCTGGAGGAATTCATAAGGCCACAAAGGATAAAAGGGGAGCATTGCTTT